GGAAATGTGTTTCCTTACTGTGCATGACAATAAACACTTGACTTTTTTTTTTTTTTACTTTGACTACAGTTATGACAGAAGCTGCACAATCACTACATGACATCTACCAATGCTTTAAATTTGTCTAAAATGACATGTTCACTATCGCAGGAAGAAATCAACAGACCCATGGGCTGTTTGAGCCACAAGTTCATCACACTGCAAAAAAAAAAAAAAAAAAAAAAACAACAACAAAAAAAACAACCTAAATGTACAGAAACTCTGATCTTACAGAGGAACTGTCTTCCCATCTTCTTCAGGTTCTGTCCTTTGTGATTCTGCCCTGCTCTCAGACTCTCTAATGACAAATCAGTCTGTACTTGAAGCACCATAAACACTTCCTGACTTGTTCCACAAAGGAAACAAGTGGAATCCACCCCATCTACTGTCAGAAATGTCAATTTAGGACAGCCTCGATGTCTTACAGTAATTCACAATAAAATCGCTTGTTAAGGTTACAGTTGTCTCTGTAGGAATTGCTAGTGGAGATGATGGCAAAAAGTTAATTTGATTTGTTGTCTGCCTCCAGGACATCACCTCAGGGACTGGTGGTCTATTTGATGCACTGACTTCTCAGAGCTTTGCCCTGGAAAACCCATCAGATGAGTATAATAAGATACACACTGTAAACGGCTCAAACAGGAGTACATAGATGTAGGTCAGCAAGTTAGCAACACAAAAAAGACCTTTAATTGTGTAAAGGTTGTCTCATTTCCAACCTTTTCCTTCAGGTACATTGACTCTGTAGTTAAAGAATTCTGCGTACAATAGGATCACACCTGTAGGTCATCTAACTTGAGTTCTGAGTCCTAAACAAAGGCTTCCTTCAACTCATTATTCATAAAATAATACAAATCATTTTATTGGCATGTCCCCCAAAACACCTTAAGTGATTTTTTTTTTAAAATCTGCATGTGAAGATTTTTTTTTGTTTGTTTTAAGCATAAAAACTGGAAACTGGAGGAAAACAACCTGTGTCTGTCAAACTGTAACAAAATCTGCCTAGCAACACTTATAATGTTCACTATCGTGCACAGCTGGTTTAGCTGGTCTTTGACTGGTGCAGGAGGGAAAAACTAATTTTGAATTGCCTCTTCAGTTATCAGATCATGGAATGTGGTTTTTTAGATTGAGCAGATATTATTCTTAAAGCATCAAGCTGAAGGGTCAAGCAGCAAACTGTAAATACTACATGTGGATATTATAAGTTTTGTGCTGTGAAAACTTGTTTGACACATGCAAAAGCAACAATATCCTGAAAAAACAACAACAAGTTGAGCTTTCAAACCTCCTTTTTTCAGCAGCAGCACTCCACCTTCTTCCATCAGTCTTGGAGAAATTTAAACGCAGTCTTTAATTAGCTACATCTTTCAAGATAATTTTAAGTACCCAAGGAGGACGGTGACTTTGATTCAAAGCAAGAAAAAAATATGAGAGAAGAAGAGGAGGAGAGCGTAAGTAGGAGGGAGGGATGTAGGGGGGGTGAAAAGGGAGCTTGTTACAGTTTGCAGGAATCACTCCTCCAGGAGTCTGAATTTTTCAGTCTGGATGCTGTAGCTTGAGGTCAGGCTCTCTCTGACTTCATCTGTGCTTCAGTGGCTGTGTGAGGTCGCTGTATGTCTGGCATGCAGTCATGGGCCCCTCATTGTGCTCTGGGATTACTGTCTTCCTGGTTGTCACCTTGGCTCAGGTGATCATTGTGAGCTGCCAAGGACATAGCAAGAAAGGTGAGTGGCCGCTGCCTACATATGACTGCTCCCTCTGCCTCGTGATTGGTGCTGATGCCTGATATGTTTAAGTGCTGCTGACAGGTTTATGCAGCAGTGGAACAAGAAAGGTCATAAAAGTATTTTGGCTTGATGATACCAGGACAGTGAGGTGTCGTCTGCTTCTGTGGGCTGTTGTGTTGAAATATACATCGGGACTGTGCTATACAGTCACCATAAAATTCAGCTATATGGCCTTATTGTCAGTTACAAATGCTGAATATATACACCTATTCATGTGTTTTTTATTTATGATTCTTGACAGTAATGCCTTCAGCTTGATTCCTGGCTGACTAACCGAATCCTGTCAAAACATTAACTTTATATTTTTAAGCTGACATGTTTTTTACAGTATATTTTTTCCTTTTCTCCCCAGTTTATGATTTCTTCTTTTTCAAAATTTAGGATGTGGTTTGGGAAGTTTCTAATTTCTTGCAGACTTCCTGCTCAGTTTGTTTGTTTGTTTGTTGTTGTTGTTGTTTTTTTTTTTTAACTGGGCTGCTCTGCCTCCCAAAGCTCCAGTCACAATGACCTTGTGGTTTAGGAACTAAAGGTATAAATCACACCCACAGCATAGACCACAAAGGCTCATTATACCTTAGTGAGACACAATTTTCTTTGGGAACCTGCTAAAACCACTAAGTGATCATGTAGAAACAAAAACTCCAAACCTTTCAGGAACTGAATTGAAATCTTAAAACACTGCTCCTGTCTCTTGGAAGGAACATGAAATTCATGCTGGATATTGAGCCTAAAGTGGCATAATATCGTTGACATAAATCATCAGTTTAAGATGCTGTTCCTATCTGAGCAAGAGTCAGCCTTCTAAAATACAATGCCCCAGTGGATGTCATCCTTGGTCAAAAATACGTTCCTTCCTACAGGCTGCACTAAAGAACACTCACAGCTGCTTGGGTTATTTCAGTGCGAGGTTGAAGCTGAATGAAGGGGTTTTGAGTACCACAGCTATAATGATGTGGTCTGTTGGATGCGATGGACAAAAACAGGCCACTAATTTTGGTTAGACTTGAGGCCAAAGGCAGACAAGACACACCCAGAGTGAGAGGATGCTGGATATGAAGTATGATTCACCCACTTTTGTTCTGCTCCACTGGAGCTGCAGAAGGAAAAAGAAAAACTTTATTTACAACTGTTTGCCTAACATGTACAGTCGCTGTTTGGACTAAATCTGTGATCCTTCAGTGCAGCACTGGTTAGTAAAGACCTGTTCGCCATCTGTGGGCTGACAGATGTGTCAAAACCTGAGATGCTTTAGCTCTAGTCAGACAGGAGTGCACATCACATGCTGCTGTGTTCTAATACTGCAGCAGAAATGTGTATTTGAGTTGACAGTTTACACTATTTCTCATGTCAAATGTGAGCTGGAGACTGTTTAGAGATACCTCCACAAGCTCCTGTGTTCTGTTTGTTTTGTCCATCTAGTGCTGTGAACTGAGATGTATGATGCTGGTTGACTGCTTGTTCTGGCCATTTAATGTTTTAGTGTGCTGTGCTTGGCTTGCATGTGCCAATGTGTTTGTTTGAGTGGGGAAAAATGGAAAGAAACAGAGACAGCCTGGGCCTTAAATGGGAGGGAACCAACATCAGCAGGTTTTTGCAGATGTGTAGACTCAGTACTGAACTAAATGGGCTGGTAGTTTTGAAACAGCTGATATGCAGTGGTTCCCAGATGTTTGGGCTTTTTGGTTGAAACCCCTTTAAAACAATGTCTACTGTTACCCCTGTGACCTTAGTGCAGTGGTGGAAGAAATGCTCAACAATATAGCCTGGTATAAGGAAGTGTCTTTCATTCATAATTTAGCCTGACTAAAAGTGCAAAAGTATCTGCATCAAAATATACTTGAAGCACCAAAAGAAAAATTATAATAATAACCTTTATTTACTGTATATAGCACTTTACAACTCCTAGGGGCACAAAGTGCTGTACAACAGAGCTGGAGTAGCCAGTGAAACACAATAGAAAAAAAACAGTAACAAGTAACAGAATAAAATACTAAAACATCCTTATAACAGAATATACATAGCATTACACAAAAAGAGGTCTCTTTGGGCAAATAAAAGCAATTTAAACATCGAACGCCTGTTTGAAAAGGTGAGTCTTTAAAACTGATTTAAAAGTCACTAGCTCAGTTACACATCGTAGCTCTTGGGGTAAAGAGTTCCAGAGTCTGGAGCCATACACAGCGAAAGAACGGTCGCCCCATTTCTTATAACACGACCGTGGTACCACCAGGGCCAAGTACCCTGAGGATCGCAGAGCTCTGCACGGAGCATAAATGGACAACAGGTCAGAAAGGTACGGCGGAGCAAGACCGTGGATGGTCTTAAAAATAAATAGCAGGAAAAGGGAATCAATATGCAGAATGGCAAATTTCACATTTTTGTGCATTATATTTTTAGATTATAATCATTATTTGTTATACATGCCTTTAATGTTACAGCTGGTAAAGGTGGAGCTAACTTTTAGGTGATTATGTTTGGATGCTTTATCCTGTATACTTAGAACTTGTGATCAACAACATCTCATGACTGTTCTGTAATTTGTTTTATTAATCTGATTCTGAAAAGTACGTAGAAGCTAAAGTTATCAAATAAAGGTGGTGGAACTGAAGTAATACTCTAATAAAGTACAAATGTCTCAAAATTGTACTCAACTACAGTACTTGAGTAAATGTACTTAGTTGCCTTAGTGTGGACACAATGACTACAGTCACATTAACCAAAGAATTTCCTTTTCTCTTTTATTTGCTGTTTGTCTGAAGGAGGGAACAAATGTGTTATATTTTTATCCTAACCTAAATCGTCCTGACCTGATTCAGCCCTCAGGTTGGAAACCAATGGGCTTAGCTTATGTGGGTTAAATATTGTTTAATAAACCAGAACTCAGGCAGTGTGGGTGTCTGCAGACTAATAGACTGTTTCCTCTTAGTCTTAGTCATGATAGCTGTAAATCTAAGTCATAATTACATACAAATGAAGGAACACTGTTTACCAAATATAATGTGGAGTTTGTAACTTTTCTGAACATCCTGAAAAGCAAAAACTTTAATCTGCAAGCACAATAAAATAAATGCCTTTTTCTTAGAATAATAAAGGCTCAGCGTTCTAAAAACAAGCTAGCTGCAGAAGGACACAGAATGCAGGAAACATTTTTCAAACTGCTAATGAGAACCCACTGACTAAACCTGCAGCTCATAACATATTTAGTAACTGTCTCATACATGCTATAGCCTACAAGCTGCAGGGTGAGGCAGGTTTTGTAGGAGGGCTTCTCTGGGTGTGGCACTTCTCAAATAAAGGCAACCCACAAGCTTTACCCAAGCCAAACCTATAATACAGATATTGTGGTTTCCCCTGAAATAACTCCTGCTTTTGAAAAGCAGCCTGTCTTGCGGGGTGAGGATCCACCACATAATTGGTACTTAGGGACATCACTAAACTGTTGGCATAGAATAAAATATAATCACAAAGCCTGTAGTAGGTGGTCGTATTTGCTTTTCTCACTGTTTGTTTTAGTTTTGCACCTTTTTAGAAACACTGGACAAAGGGGATGGAGTCATGGAGGGTGTAGGATTATGATCCAGACCAGTAGCAACCTGGCAAAACCACTTACACTGCACTGAAAGATTTTAGGATTGCACATATACATTTCAATCTGAATTTTAGGACAAACCCCCTGATTAAATAAAATCCTTTTTGTGTACCATGATTAATGACAAAGCACCATCATATCTTAAAGACCTCATTCTAACAGAGCACTTCGCTCTCAGAGTGCAGGTTTACTTGTGGTTCCTCGAGTCCACAGAAGCAGAATGGGAGGCAGAGCCTTTAGCTATCAGTCTCCTCTCCTATGGAACCAACTCCCAGTCTCAGTTCAGGAGGCAGACACCCTCTCTATCTTTAAGATTAGACTTAAGACTTTCCTTTTAGATAAAGCTTATAGTTAGGGCTGGATCAGGTGACCCTGAGCCTTCCCTTAGTTATGCTGCTATAGGCCTAGGCTGCTGGGGGGCCCCATGATGCTCTGAGTTTCTCTCCTTTCCTCTCCTCTCCTCTCACTCCATGCATCTATATGCCACCGCGACATGTCACTAACTGTGTCTCCTCTCTCTCGTAGTGTGTCCTCTCTCTCTCCCTGTACCTTTCTGGCTCTGGAGCTCTATGTTTCTGATGAGCAGTCACCAGCCACATCAACCTGACCAGTGTTTGATTGTTTGTTGTGTCTTGTTGCTTTTCTTCTTTTGTCTCTCCCCTATCCACTCACCCCAACCGGTTGAGGCAGAAGGCCGCCCACCAAGAGCCGGGGTCTGTCGGAGGTTTCTTCCGTTAAAGGGAGTTTTTCCTCCCCACTGTCGCCAAGTGCTTGTTCAAGGGGGATTTGTTGGGTTTTCCCTCTGTAATAATAGTGATAACAGTAAGGTCTAGACCTTAGTTTGTAAAGTGTCCTGAGATGACTTTTGTTGTGATTTGGCGCTATACAAATAAAGGTGAATTGAATTGAATTTGAATTTTGTTGGTGCACATAAGCCTATAAAGTTTTCTGACTGTTTTACAACGCTAATAGATATGCTCGTTACTTGCTAATTTTACAGTTTTTCTGAATTGCTAAAACACGTTTCTTGAAACCACCACTCATTTTCTCAAAACCTTAAACACAAATCCAAATACCCAAACTAAATTCTCAAAAGCTCTGACTCTTCTGGTCAAATCAAACAATTGCTTCAAAACCATTTCACCAGCACTCAAAATCAAACAATGCTTTCAGATCATACACACATGAGTCAATCATATATAGACACTACAGCTCATTTATTAGATTCCACATCAAAAAATGGAGAACACAGCATCGAGGGCATGTAGTTACAAAAAAAAGTTTGTGTATAGTAAAAAACACGCAAAACAAAAGAAATCACACCTAAGTATGGTGAATTTACCAAAAA